GCTTACAACCCAGGCATGTGCCCTGACTGGGAATCGAACCAGCCACCCTTCAGTTCGCAGGCCAGCACTCAATCTACAGAGCCACACCAGCCAGGGTGGAAATAATGAGTTCTTTAAAAAGATGCTTTAGATGTGTTAGGTGATGATATGAATTTGATGGACTATTCTACAGTCCTTGATGATTTAGGCAGTGGAAACACTGGAGTAGCTATTACTAATTAATTTTCCCTTTCATCCTGTGTCTGACCATCTTAAGAAACCCTCTGTAATCAGCAAAGACATTCTCAGCAGAAATGAATGGCTTTTTCAGAGTTTAATGACTGAAAATGTTCATCTTTAAGATATTTCCTGTGGCATCTTTCTATGGTGCCTGCAAAAGCTAAAATTTATGTGGGTGGAGTTTTTGATGATTTAATTTATTGTGTCCATTTGGTACAAGTACAAAGCACTTGGCAGAAGCACTGTTCTCAACTACTGCTTAAACTGGCTTAAGCACTGTTTATCCACCACAGACGGGAAATAACAGTCTAGCTATTAGACTTACTATATGGGGAGTTACCATGTATTTGGGGGGAATGTCAGCGGTGGCTATTAAAGAAAGTATTACCTCGTACATCTATAGTGGCATTTTCTTTTCAAACCATTTCCTCATCTATTATTTTATTTTTCTCACCCTTGAAGTAGAGATGGATACCACATTTCTTCATTTGCTGCATTCTATGGATAAGAAACCTCGAGTTTAAGCAGAATTGTGTAAGGAGGAAGTTGGATGTGAAGGGATGAGACTGTGGGTCTGCTGTGATTTGTCTGATTGCTTTATGGCCATCTCTGGTTTTTATCCAGAAATATATGGTTCACTGAGAAATACATGATTCTTCCAGTTCTTTCATGCTTTAGTAGGAGCCTCAGACTCCTACTTTGTATTGTACCATCATCCACAGTAGTCCAACCAATCAGGCAAAAAATAATATAGTATAATGAGCTTCAAGCTCAGTCAGGTGTGTGGAAAATCCTGAGTGCCTGGCATTTTCTGTCTTCTCTGCCGTCAGTATCTCCCAGGCACTTCAAGAGAGTAAAGGGGTTCGTATTTACTCAGTTAAATTGTTGTGTTTTACAAAAGAATCAAGGCTGCAGTTTGCTCTTGACCTCCTTCCTTGGTTGAATTTCCATGGATCTGTACAATTGTATTTTACGTATTTTATATTATTTATACAGTTCATGTAGACATACTATACCGCTGTATTGTATCATGTTATATTATCTGACAAACGAACCAAGGGACAACATCAGGGGAAACTCGGCCCCATGCGTCTTCAGAGGGCTGATAAACCAGGTCTTGTCAGCACAGATTTTTAGACTCAGGGCCTGGTTACACTTGTTGGTTTCGGTGGACCGGTCGGAAGTCTTCCTTCCGGTTTAGCGTGACTGAGGATTTAGGCCAGCAGGGGCCACGCTTTCCAGATCCAAGAGGAAAACGGAAAACTACCTAGTAGCAGGGCCCAACATCTCACACAAGTCATCCCTCGGTGATTTTGAAATCAAATATGTTATTTTCATATCAATAACTTTATTTATGACATTTTTAGCTTCTTTCCTAATTTTCTCTTCATTGAAAAGCTTATCATTGCTGCATGTTCTGTATAATGCTTCTGGTTGGCGGCATTTCATGCAAATGTAGGCTTACAGAGGGAGTGGAGGAATAGAGGGCTGGGTGCCTATTCCTTTGAATAGAATAAAACTCAGAGAAGGTCTTACTGTGCATGAGCGTTGCTCAGGCTGTCTTGGCCTTAGTCTTTCTTTCTCCTGTGAAAGAAACAGCCTCTAAGGTTACATTAAGTGCAGCCCAGCTACTAGAGATGTGATCGCGGGTCATTAAATAGTATAATGCAAAAGTCTTTGGTTTTCATTCTGCTGTTTTCGTTCTCTGGAGACCCGAGGTCAGAGGTTACGATGAACCAAACGGTCACGTGGAAAAGCAACCAGAAACTTGTAACAACTTCAGGTTTTAGAGTTCTGAGTAGTGTGGTCCTGACAAAGTGCTTACTTTTTTTGCCTTTATATTTTAAAGGTTCATTTTATGTTTGAAGAAAGGTATACAGGATTCCTACTTTTTCAGGGTGAGATGGTCCGCTAAAAGAACACAAATTTTTGTCATATATGCTTATTGAAAATATGTATATTAAGTAAAATTCACTAACTTTTGTGTCTTCAGTTTTGTGAACTTCCATCATGTATGGAGTCTTGTAACCACTACCACAGTCAACATACAGGACAGGTCCTTCAGCCCCAGATGGTCTCTCATGCTGCCCCTCTGTGGTCAAAACCTCCCCCATTCTGAACTGCGGGGACCACTTACCTGTTTTCCGTCTCTACAGTTTTGCCTCTTCTAAAACGCCACATAAGTGACACTTAGCAGGATGTGTTTGTGATTCATCCATGATGTCATGTCTATCAGTTGTGTGTTTCTTTTTATTGCTGGGCAGACTTTTATTTTACCAGAGTTCGTTGATTTATTCAGCAGTGAAGAACATTCAGGCTGCTTTCAGTTTGGAGTGATGAAGAACAATGAGGATGAAGTGCTCCAAACAGAGGTTTTTGTGTAGATGTAAGTTTTCATTTTTGTAGGGTGAGTGAATGCCTACCTACAAGTGGGATTCCAGGTCATGTGGTCAATGTACATCTAACTTTGTAAGAAGCAGCCATGCCGTTTTCCAGAGTGACTTAACCATTTTGTATCCCCACCAGCAATGTATGAGAGTTCTAGTTACTCTGTGTCCTTGTCAGCACTTGGTATTGTCAAATTTTAAAAAAAAATCTGAGCCATTCTAACATGTGTGTGAGGATATCTCACTGTGGTTTTAAATGCCACCTCTTCATGTACTAATTTTCTATATAAATATCTCATTTGGAGAAATGTCTGTTCAACTCATTTGTCTACTTTTTATTGGATATTTGTTTTCTTATTATTGCTTTTGAGAGTTCTTTTTCAATTATGGGTAAAAGTCCTTTGTTGGATTTGTTATTTAAAGGTATTTTACTGTAGTTTTCTTTCATTTTCTTAGCCATCTTTTATAGAGAGAGGGGTTTTAGTTATTATGAGGTACAATTGATTTATTTTTTCTCATAAGGGTCAAGTTCTTAGTGTTGTATCTAAAAATCCTCTTCCTCACCCAAACTCATGAGAATTTTCTTTTTTTTCAGAATATTTATAATTCTGTGTGCTATGTTTAGGTTTACTGTGTTAAATGGTTTTCATAAGGTATGAGGTGTGGGTTCAAGTATATGTATTTTTTGCATATGAATGCCTGATTGTTTCAGCACCATTTGTGGAAAAGACTATATTTTATTAATAAAATTGCCTTTGCACTTGCACTAAAAATCAGTTGACTATATTTTTTCAGATCCATTTCTAAATTCTCTGTGTTGTCTCATTAATTTATGTGTGTATAGTTTTACTAAAACTATGTTATCTTGATTAGTATAGCTAAAGAGTAAGTCATGACATCAGGTAGTGTGAGTCCTCTAAATTTGTTCTTCTCTCTCAAAGTTGTTTTCTGTGTCCTTTCCCTTTTCATATAAATTTGTGATCAGCTTGGTAGTATCTGCAAAAATCCTGCTGGGATTTTTATTGGAATAAGTGTTAAATCTCTAGAGCAATTTCAGGAGACCTGACATCATAATGATATTTGAGCTGTCCAGTCCACCTATTTAGCTCTTCTTTGATTTTTTTCAACACTGTTCCATAGTTTTTATCATATAGACTCTATACATTATTTGTTAGATTTATACCTAATCTTTAATTTTTGGAACTATTATCAACAATACTTGAAAAAGTTTGTTTCCAATTTTCGTTGCTTATATACAGATACATGTTAAATTGTTTGGTATACTACCATGTGTCTTGCAAATTTGCTAACCTCATTTCTTAGTTCTAGGAGCTTTTTCTGGAAATTATTTAGGTTTTTTATGTAGATCATGCAGTCTCTGAACAGAAACAGTTTGATGTCTTCCTTTCCAACATATGCGCTTTTTTTTTTTTTTTACATGTCTCATTGTGCTGACCAGGGCTTTCAGTACTATGTGAAATAGGAGTGGTAAGAGCAAACATTTTTTATTTGTTCCTGATTTTAGGGAGGAAAGATTTAATCTTCAGCATTAAATACGGTGTTAGCTACAGAGATTTTTGTAAATACGCGTTATCAGGTTAAGGAAGTTTCCTTCTAGTGTAAGTATTATAATTATATGATGTAGTTTTATGAGGGTTTTTATTATGAGTAGATTTTAATTTTTAAAACATCCCTTTTCTGCATCTGTTTATATAATCATGTGGCTTTTCTCCTATTGTATGTTAGTATGGTGGATCATACTGATTAAATTTTGAGTGTTAAACTAGCCTTACAGTTCTAGGATTAACCCCCTTGATTGTGAGGTATATTTTTAAAACGCACACCTCATTTCGTTAGATTACTGCTAACATTTGTTGCAGATTTTCACATATATGTACGCAAGTGGTATTGGGCTATAGTTTTCTTTTCTTGTACTGCCTTTCTGTTGCTTTGGTATTGAGTAAAACTGACCTCATAAAATGCCAAAAATTCTCCTTTCTGACTCAGAATGTACAGATGTTAACAAAATGTTATTTGAACAGAGAGGGATTCGTGATCAGGTTTGCCATAATGCTGTTCCATCTAGAGGGTGCTAATCTGAAGAACACATAGTTAATAAAAGCAAGTGGGACACCTAATTCACAAAATTCAGTGAGACTGTGTCAGAAAACTGTTTAACGTGATAATCCACGTGTGATGTAAGTTACGAAATCACACCCAGCCCGGATCACCTCTCACTCCCACCTTGCTGTCATGAGGTCATGTTTGTACACGGAGTCCATCTGGTCGTTTTCCCATAAGCCGATGAGACTCTGCTAGTGTTTCCATGCCTATCCTGAACAGTGTAATAGTTTTATTCCACAGAGAGATGAATTTTCCAGAGTGAGTGGAAACCTATATTTATCTCCCTGTTTTCTCGATGGGACAAATGTAGGCTGCTTTGATGGTATGATGATGCCAAATATAAGAACATCAGCTTAAGAAAGAGAGTTCTGAGCTCTGAAATGAGAGCGAGGAAGACTGGTATGGCAGACGTCAAACCTTTCAGTTCAGGAGCAGGGTGAGAAGTGTGAGAACAGCATAATGTGGTGCTTGTGGAAGTGAACTCTGCAGTTCGACTGCCTGGTTTTGAACTTGCCAGCTGGGTGACCTTCGGTGAGTTACTAAACTTCTCATTGGTCATTTTGAACAGAATTAGTTTAAAGTTCCTTTTCAATTTTCCTCTTATTTCTGGTTTCCCAAGTGTGAATTCTCTGTTTTGTTGGGCTCTAAGTCTTTGGTTTGTCTTCTGTAACATTCGACTCCTGAATGTTACATTCTTAGATTATTTGCTTTTCAAGGATGAACTTTCTGCAGTAGTCCTCTGTGTGAACCGGGCTGTGGTCGCCTCTCTGTGGAGTGATTTTCCACGCCTTCAGATCCTGTGCTGCAAAATTCAAGCTTTTCAGCTTGAGATTTTGAGCCGCATAAAATTCAGACCTACACACAAACCATAAGGCTCTGGACTCTTCGGCACGTAACTCGCATTCATTCATGACCAGGTGTGGGTGGTTTATTTCGGGGTGAGCCCATGGACAGTAGGCAGATATTTTCTCCTCTTCTTGAAAATCCCAGTGATGGGGGTTTGGGCTCCCAGCACCATTTGCCCTTGGGTGTTTGATTCTTTTTATTGATTCTTCTACATGAAATGATTAAAACTATTAACCCCCTTAATTTGTAGCATTTGCAGGTTTACTTTGGTTGGGGTAGGGTTGAATAAATTAAAACAAAGATATTTAATGCACTATGGCATCATCAGAAACTAGGTGAGATCTAAGGGGTAAAAAAGAAGAAAAAGAAGCGAAGAGAGATAAGCACTCTGGGTGGAAACGGGAATGCTGAGCAAACACGAAGGGGAGGGCTGCCCGGAGGCAGCTGCCAGCCCAGTGCTGGGGTCTCCAGACCGGTGTCCCTCGCAGCCGGAAGCTCCTCCATTAAGCCAAAGCCTGGGAAGGGAGCTACAGAGGCTTCAGGTCAGCAGTGCCCCTGGCCTCTCTGGAGAAGAGCTTCCCCAGGTCAGGGGCCTGGATCAAGTGTCGCCAAATGTGAGCATGCAATCCAAACTTAGCAAGTACCCAAGGAAATAGGCCACTTGACTCTGAGTCAATAGAAACAATAAACAGTGAATTAGACACTAAAGAACTGCAGGCATTGGAATGATATAATGCAGGATCTAAAATTCTACATGAAATGATTAAAACTATAAAACGAAATAAAATGAGTAAGGGTTAAAAATCTATTAAAGATGAATAGGCATATTTGTAAAAGAACCAGTACATTTTGGCAATGAAAAATATAATAATTGAAACACAGAAGTCAACTAACAGGTTTAAAATGGAAGAGGGGAATTAGAAGGTAAGTCTAAAACATTATTCTGAGCATGGAACACAGGAAGACTGTGGAAAATATGTGAAAAATATATGAAAAATACAAAGTTGTTAAGAGGCATGGTGGATACAGTAAAAACAAATGAACAAGTATTCAACTGAAGTTTAATTCTGAAAGAATGAAGGAAAGGCACCATCCAAATAAATACAGGTGAGACTTTTTAAAAATAGTAAGTGTCATACAACTGCAGACACATAACACATCAAGCAGGGTAACAAGAGGAAACCACAGCTGTATAGAGTACAGTAAACTGTAAAGTATCAAAGGCAAGTGGACCGTAAAAGCAGAGGAGGAGGACAGACTGCTTACAAAGGAATGATAATTAGATTAATAGCTAATCTCTATGTAAATACACTTGACAGCTTCAATGAAATGGTTGTCACAGTTCTAAAACTACACAAAGGAAATAAAATCTAAATATTGTAATTGCTATCAGATAATAGAAACTATTATACTTTGGTTCTGTGTACACATGCTACCAAAATCTTAAGGAAGGTAAACTATTCCGATAAAGTATAAAATTTTCCAAGTAATTTTATGAAATAAGATTACATTGATACCACAGCCGGCTGCACAGATTAAAAACAAAAATTCTGAATAATCCTTGCATTCTGGGAATAACCTGCTTATTCCCCTTTTTTGCTGGTGTAGACTCTTTGTTCATATTATCAAGAATTTTTAAGTTCTTTAATATAATTTACCATAGTTACATATCAAAAGAGAAATAAGTCATTATCCCAATAGGTTGAAAAGGCATTTCATAACAATTACATCCATTCTTAATTTATAAAACATAAACCCTTAATTAAATAAAAGGGGATCAATACTTCCTGAGTATTTAAAAATGTATCTCAAATGAAATGTTAATCTCCTGTGTGATCGGAAACACTAGATGCATCACCGCCATAGTTAGGAGTAAGACTGAGATGTCACAGTTATCTCTACAATTTGAGATTGATCTGCATGCATGTATTAGTATATTTAACATTGGTCTGGCTGTCACAGATAATGTAACTGGACAGAGGAAAGCAAGTAAACACATAAAATGGGAAGTAGGAAATAAAATTATTGTTATTTGAGTATGATATTTTGAGAGAACAAATTTACTCTAGCAAATTAAAAACCTCAATAAGTTAACTGTATCAAATTACTATATGATATCTGGCTTTCAAATTATACAGGGTGGGGCAAAAGTAGGTTTAACAATGTGAGCATGTGAAACAGAGAGTTTATTCTTATATTATTATTTATGGTATTATTTTTCATACAAACTACCGTTAAATCTAAATTTGTCCAATTATAACCTCAGTTAGAAGATATAATGAGAAAAATCTTTTGTAACACCAACATAAGGGGTAAAATCTTTAGAAAAAATGTTTAACAATGAACATGTACAATCTATGTAAAGAAAAATAGTGCTGAATAAGCAGGTAACATAAAAGAATAATTGATAAAATGAAAAAGAAAGTCATTTTGGGGGGTAAATATCAGGTCTTTCTAAATTAATTTATACATGTAATGCGCTCTCAATAGAAAGTAGTAACAAGATGTTTTAAAATATATTTTATTGATTATGTTATTACAGTTGTCCCATTACCCCCCCTTCATTCCCCTCCACCCTGCACACCCTCTCCCACCCACATTCCCCCCTTTAGTTCATGTCCATGTGTCATAAGTTCTTTAGCTTCTACATTTCCCATACTATTCTTGCCCTCCCCCTGTCTATTTTCTCCCTACCATCTATGCTACTTATTCTCTGTACCTTTTCCCCCTCTCTCCTCCTCCCACTCCCCTGTTGCTAACCCTCCATGCAATCTCCATTTCTGTGGTTCTCTTCCTGTTCTAGTTGTTTGCTTAGTTTCTTTTTGTTTTTGTTTTAGGTGTGGTTGTTAATTATGGCGACTTTGCTGTCGTTTTACTATACACGTTTTTCATCTTCTTTTTCTTAGATAAGTCCCTTTAACATTTCATATAATAAGGGCTTGGTGATGATGAACTCCTTTCACTTGACCTTATCTGAGAAGCACTTTATCTGCCCTTCCATTCTAAATGAAAGCTTTGCTGGATAGAGCAATCTGGGATGTAGGTCCTTGCCTTTCATGACTTGGAATACTTCTTTCCAGTCCCTTCTTGCCTATAAGGTCTCTTTTGAGAAATCAGCTGACAGTCTGATGGGAATTCCTTTGTAGGTTACTGTCTCCTTACCTGTTGATGCATCTAGGATTCTCTCCTTCATTTTTACCTTGGCTAATGTAATTATGATGTGCCTTGGTGTGTTTCTTCTTGGGTCCAACTTCTTTGGGACTCTCTGGGCTTCCTGCAGTTCCTGGAAGTCTACTCCCTTTGCCAGATTGGGGAAGTTCTCCTTTATTATTTGTTCAAATAAGTTTTCCACTGGTTGCTCTTCCTCTTCTCCTTCTGGTACCCCTATAATTCAGATGTTGGGACGTTCAAAGATGTCCTGGAGGTTCCTAAGCCTCTCCTCATTTTTTTGAATTCTTGTTTCTTCATTCTTTTCTGATTGTATTTTTTTTCCTTCCTTCTGGTCTACTCCATTGATGTGAGACCCAGCTTTCATTCCATCACTGTGCATTTTTCTTAATTTCACTTATTGTAGCCTTCACTTTTTCATTTAATTTGCGACCAAAATCAACCAATTCTGTGAGCATCCTGATCACTAGTGCTTTGAACTGTGCATCTGATAGGTTGGCTATCTCTCGGTTGCTTAAAAGCACTGATGGTGGGGCTTTCAAGTTTGTTTGAGCCATCTTTTTTTTTTTCTTTCACTCTGGTTGCACCTGTTACATATGAGGGGCGGAGCCTTAGGTGTTCACCAGGGAGGGGCACCCCAGTCACTGGGTTGTGACGTTGTATGTGGGGGCGGGGTCTGAGAGGGAACAATGGTGCTTGCTCTGCTCTCTGTCGGACCTCAGTTCCTTCCACTGATTTTCACAAGCCAACTGAGTCCCTCTGGTGCCAGTTCCCATGTGGGTGGGCTTGTGCACACTGTGGGACTCTCCAAGGAACTCTCCTGTGAGGCTGGGAGTCTCTCCCTGCACCTCAACCCCCACAGGTGTTTTCACTCAGTGTCCCGAGGTTCTATTTCCCAGTGCTGTGATCCTGGGTTGTGTACAGTGCCTTGCTTCACAATTCCCGCCTCGCTGGGTCTGCCGGTTGCCACTCCTCGGCTGGGGTCTGCCAGATGCTGCTTGAGCACTCAGGGTCCACCCGCTGCGGTCTTGCGCACCCCTGATGCCTATGCACCTGGTCCCAACACTCTCTGCTCTCTGTGTCCTGACCTGCGCCCAGCTGCCCGACTCTGCCCCTCCTACCAGTCTGGATGAACGGGTCTATTTTAACTTCTTGGTTCTCTGACTTCCATACAGTTCAATTTTCTGTCAGTTCTGGTTGTTATTCTGTTTCTAAATTGTTGTTGTCCCTATCTTGGTTGTGGGAGGAGGCACAGTGTGTCTACCTATACCTCCATCTTGGCTGAAAGTCCAGTAGAAACACGATTTTTTACAGCAAGAACACTTATTCTAAAATTCTTATGAAAAATCAAATGAGCCAGAGAAATTGTTTTTTAAATGTCAAAAAGTCATATAGAAACATATTTGAAAGCTATAATAATTAAAAGAGGAATAAATGTCTGAGTGGCCAGATAGGTGGTACAAACTATAAGGCTCAGAAATAGATCTAAACATATGTGAGAATCTAAATATATGATA